GGTACCGACGCCGTCGCCGCTGTCGCCGTCGCCGATGTCGTCGTCGCCGTCGCAGTCGCCGTTGTCGTCGCCGTCGCCGTCGCCGTCGTTGTCGGTTCGTCGAGGTGTGGATGATGCAGAAGAAACAATCTTCCTGCCTCTCAAGCTCGCGCTCCCGCTCTCGCTCGCGTGAGTGCAGAACATCATTGCGCACGCTGATCGGGAGCCCGCGATTACCCCGCCATCTCTCGCACGGGTCGGCTCTTCTTAGGACCGACACGCACGTACGTAGGCTCGGCTCTACTTAGGACCTTCCTACCTACTCGCGCCCTCTCCTCCTCTCTCCTCTCCTCCTTCTCCTCCTGCTCCTCATCCTCCTCCACCCCCGCCTCCTCCTCCTTCTCCTTTTCCTCCTCCTCCTCTTCCTCCTCCTCCTCCTCCTGCTCGAAGCCTCGAAGCTGCGGACAAGCTCGCGTCGTTGCGCCGATGCCCTCGAGTCCCTCCCACCAGTCGGTGGGAGGGGTTACAAAATCAAGAGGTGCAGAGATGACAGGGGAAGGAAAACCGAACGGCTAGGTCATGTCGACGGTGAACGTAACTGCATCCTCCTCCTCGTCGTCCTCCTCCTCCTCCTTCTTATCCTTCCTCCTCGTGCTGGGTTAGTCTCGCGACTTGCGATTCGAGCTGACGGGTGGGATAGCTGATCTACTCATCTCGCTGATGGGGCCTACGTGCAGCATGCAGTCGTGTGGTGGTGTCAATTTGCTTCGGTGGAGGGAAGAACAGAAAATGCAGGACCCTCCTCCCTTGCACCGCGGTGCCGATTGGTCAACAGGCGGGAGATGCCTTGATGCTTTATTGCGTGGGGCAGCCGAAGCAGGTACCACAGCTCTCGCGCTCCCGCGCCCAAGAGCAGACGCCGCCTCTCCGCCCACCGAGCCCGTGGAGGAGCCCGAGCTGGGGCCTCCGCGGCCAGCCTGGTTCAGGGGGGGATGTCCGCAGGGCTTCTACCTCGGCGCCTGGCGCTCGCGCGCGCGATGGGCGACTGGCCGTCCCTCCGCCAGACGGCGGTCGGGCGTCGCGCAATGGTGGGGCGAGTGCTGGCTTTTGCCCCCTCCAGGGGCCCGACAGGGACCCCAAAAGGTCACGAGAGGTGCTCGTTTCCCCCTCCCCCCCCGCCCCCTTCTTCCCCTCTCCATGCATCGCCCCCCAAACCGGGTGTTCTGCTAGAAGTACCCCTGGCCCAAGGGGCCCCCAGCTGTGCCCTCCATTTTGGAGCCCCGGGGCCTTTGGGCCTAGTTGGAGGGGTGCGCTGGAGGCCGTTTGGGTTACCGCGCCCTCAGCTCTCGCCGCCGCCTCCTCTCCTCTAGCCGCCTCCTCAGCCTTCTCTACGCCGCTCCTCCGTTCCTTCCCCCCTACGCCTTGTCCTCCTCCTCTCCGACGCCGCCGCTCCCTCCGCCCCTTCTCTCCTCTTCCTCCTCCTCCTCTCCCTCCTCTCTCATTCTTCTCTCTCCTCCTCCTCCCTCTCTCCTCCTCTCCTCCTCCTCCTCCTCCGCCTCGTTTTCCCTAGCATGTGAGAGCCAGGCGCCATGTACCCGATCTGGGGGACCTGCCACGCGATGGTCTAGCAACATCCGGCCATGCATCAGCACCCGAGGCGGGCGAGGACGGGCCGGCCGCCTTCGCGGCGGCCGTGCGGCGGCAGCTGGCGGACGCCGGGCGCTCCGTGCGTGCCTTCGACGTGGGCGGCGGCGGGGTGAAGACAGCGCTCTGCTCGGGCGGCGCCTGCTGCCCACCTCACCAGTCTCAAGTCGGGCCTGTCTGTCCCTCTACAGGAGGAACATTCAAACATAGGAAAGAACACAGCCTGGGGACGATTTGTTCTTTAGTATCTTTGGAACCTTGCTGCATATTTTTTGGAGTAGTTTTAAAATGTTTCGTCGAACATCGGCCTGCAGGGGGACACGCCCGACCTCACACCAGTCCTGGCCCAGCCCCTGCTGGGCCCAGGAGCCCGGACCCCCGCGCGCCGTGCGAAGACATCGCGACGGGATGGCTCCTCGCTCCCTTCGGCCTCCAGGGGGCCCTTCCCTTGGCCCCGGGAGAGAACATCGCGACGGGAGATGTTTCGCTATCTTCCGTTCTGAGGCTGCGCCCCCCTTCTCCTCCCCCATCTCTGGTTCATTCAAGCTTCGCGCGGCCCGCTTAGCTTCGACCGGAAGAGATGCGCTCTCGACCCGCGAATCAAACATGTTTCGCAATCTTCGGCCTCCGGGGGCCCTTCCTGGGCCCCAGGACCGTCGAGAAACGGCCCGGTCAGGACGATAATCTGGTCCTGGGGAAAGAGTCCAGACCTCTGGGTTCATGCTGCTCCCATCGCACTTGAGGACCTCATCCCCAGAAAGAATTGCGAGCACCCCGAGAAGTACCGAAACAGTGTCGAACGAGTACCGCCTCCCAGGGCTCGACACGTGAAGGTCGTCCAGTTTCGGTATTTTCTTGGTGCTCGAAATGATGTCTGGTGATCGAGGCTAAAGTAGGTTGGAACATCATAACTCTGGGCGTCGACGTGGTGCAGAAAATTTGGGGAACAAAAAGTGACATAAACATAATAACTCGAAGGTCCGCGCGGATTTCTCGGATCGGCGCTGGGCCCCCCTGGCGGCGCCTCCGGCGCCGCCCCTGGCGCGCTCCGCGCGCCAGGGAGGAGGGTCCAGCGCCGATCCGAGAAATCCGCGCGGACCTCCGAGTTTTTATGTTCATGCCACTCTTTGTTCCCCTTAAAATCACGACGTCGGGGGTCTGGGGATCGGTGTGCGCGCCCTCCTGGGGCCGACCGGGCGAGGCGCACGAGACGCCCCTCCTGGGCCCTGGATTCGACTGCACGTGGGAGTGGCCCTTCGCCGGAGTGGCCTTTCGCGCGGGCTCGCTCCCAGAGGTCCAACGCATCGACAAAAATCAGGACGGAGGTTTTTCTGAGTTTTCGGCCGCTAGCGGCCCTCGCTGGGCCCAAGGACCGTCAACACAACGACTCAGGATGAAAAGCTGGTCCTGGGGAGGGTCGAGGCTTCCGGGGAACCCGTATTGAACAAATCACGACATCGGATCTCTTGGTTGCGGTCCCCCCGATCGCTGAGCGCGATGCGATAGCAGCTGACTGCGCGCTTGGATTCGGCCACCTTGCGCCCTCGGAGTCCGCGCACCAATGGTCTCTCTTGCCTATGCGGTCACTCCTTGGCGTGCAGCCAGAGGATGGGCGTGGCCAGCAACGGGGAGGTGGGCAGCCCCAGACATCCTATATATGTCTTGGGCTTCTCAAGGCGGAGGCCCCGGAGGTCTCTGGACTCTTTCAGGAGGGGAAAAAACACAGACACAATTAATCGTCGATCCCCAGGAAATATGGGAAAATGTGGGAAGTGGGGGCGAAGACAAGAGCCCAGAAAATATGGAAAAACATGGGGAATCATTCTTTTTGTGTGTATTTGTTTGTGTGTCCCAGGGCCCCTTCACTCTTTCCTGGGCCAGCTCCTCACCCCGAGTCGCTCCTGGACAGCCCCGTGGCCCGCCGAGGGCCCCCCGAGGCCAAACAGGGCGAAGAAGGTCTCCGTCTTGAGCTCCTCGAGACGTTGGAGGCCTGGGGTCGACGCCGCCCGACCCTCTCGGCGACCGCCCTGCGCGAGCTCCTGGGCGAGGGGGAGGACCCGTCCGGCCCGCTGCCGCCGCCCAGCGCGCACGCAGCCTCGCGCGGCGCCGCCGCGCTGGCGCCCCGGGAGCTCCGCTGGGCGGAGCCTCCGGCGCAGCTGGGCGAGGCGCCCAGCGAGCGGGGCTTCTCCGCCTGGCTGCTGGGGGCGCTGCCCAGCCTCGGCCGGGAGCTGGGCGACCCGGGCGTGTGCTTCGGGGTGTCCGTGGGCGGTGACGTGGACCACGCGGCCGGGACGCTGAGGAATTGGTGGCCCGGCGGCGGGCACCCGCGGCAGTGGGGCTCCGCCCGCCCGAGCCCGTCCGTCGCCGCCCTCATGGGCCTTCCGGCGGACCGCACGTTCGTGCTGCACGACGGCGAGGCTCACCTGCTGGGGTGCAGCAGGCAGGTGCTGCCGCCGCCGTCGCTGGGCTGCTTCGCGCTCGGAACAGGGGTCGGCTTCGGCCTCAGCTCGGGCAGCGGCTCGGTGGTCGACCCCTCCTCTCGCTTCGGCGCCAAGCAGACGTCGCTGAACGGAGTGCCGCTGTCTGGCGCCAGATACCCTGGCACGTGGCGACGGTGGCTGGAGCGCCCTGGAGCTTGCAGAGATGCCGCGGAGGCGGTGATGGCGCAGCCATTTGCCAACATCGTGGATCACCCGTTCCGGATGCCGTGGGTGAGCCTCGTGCTTGGCAGACGCGGCATCGAGCTGGCAGAGGCCGCGCACGGCTGTCCGGCGCCCCCGCCAGGCGGGGGCGCCGCGTGCGACGCGGCGGGCCGAGAGCCTGCGGTGCGCGCTTACGGGGAGCAGTGGCTGCACTTCCTTCACACACAGGTGGCCCCGCAGTTCAACGGCGACCCGCGGCGCCACCCCATTCCCAGGCACCCGGCGGCTCGCTTCTCTCGAAGCGCATGGGCCCCTCCCGGGCCCCTCGGCCCCTTCCCCGGGGTCGGCCGATCCTTGTTCGCTGGCGGTCCCGTCGGGCCCACGAGACCCGCCTCCAGAAGCCCACGGGTGATGGTGAAAGGCCGGCCGCCTCGATCCCCCCGATCTGTTGGGTGTCTGGGCCCGTCCGCTCCGTCTGCTTCGCCGGCGGCATCGCGGCGCAGAACTGGGCCACGCTCGGGGACGTGCTCGTGGAGCCCTGCGGCCGTGGCCTGCGCGCGCTGGCGGGGCATCAGGCCGCCGGCCCCGAGGTCTCCGTGCTGCCCCTGGCGCCGGAGGGCTCCGGCCTGATCGGGGCGGGCGTGTACGCGCTGGCCGGGACCGGCGGGAGCCACTTGTCGATCTGGGCCACGTGAGCCTGGGTGCAGCCATCAGAAGCGTGAAGAAAAAAGAGCAAAGTTCGTGGTCTCCAGATTTCGCTTCAGAGAATCAACGAACCTGGACTGGTTCCTGGGCGTTTTCTCTTGGAGCTCCTGGCGCTGGGCTTTTACATCTTCGTATGTCTGGGCCTGGGCTATTGTTCAATAAAGCGCTTGGAGCGAAGTTCGCATTCTTAAGTCAGATCTCTCCTAATTCTGAGCAGGGGTGTACCGTTAAATTGGACATGTCCCTCTTCAGGAGGAATATTCCAAAATGGTCCAAAGATTGTTTCGTTTTTTGTTGTTGTTTGTTTGTTTGTTTGTTTGTTTGTTTGTTTGTTTGTTTGTTTGTTTGTTTGTTTGTTTGTTTGTTTGTTTGTTTGTTTGTTTGTTTGTTTGTTTGTTATATATATATATATATATATGTATTTCTGTTTTTCTGCCGAAATCCTCCTTGTAGGAGGACATGCCTGACCTAAGTGTAGCGGCCGCCAGCGCTAGCTCCCTTGGCTGTGGCCGCGGGGAGGTGCGGTGCCTTTTGCCGCGCGGCCGGAAGCGGCCCGGGGGCAGGAGCGGGCGGAGCTGCAGGGCCGCGCCGGGCACGACGGGCACAGTGGTGCGGGCAGACGGGGCGTGCCGTGGGAGGCTGCAGTCCCAGACCCCCTCGCGTTGCGAAGAGAATCGCGACGGGAAGTTTTTCGCTATTCTCCGCCTCTGGGGGCCCTTCCCGGGCCTCGGGAGCGTCAAAGGCCGACTCAGGACGAAAAGCCAGTCCCGGGGAAGGGGTCCAGACCTCTGGGGGTCGACGTTGTGGAAGAATCACGACGTCGGGGGTCTGGGGTGGGCGGGGCGGGCGGGGCGCGCGGGCGGCTTGCTGGCGGAGGGCGTGGCGCTTTCACAGCGGGCGAGGAGCGGCTTTGCACAACCTTGTTCGGCCACCGTCGGCGCCTGCCCAAGGGCAGCCGGGAAGTTTGGACCCCCACCTGGCGCCGTGGGGGTGTGAGCTTTCCAGCTGGCCTGGGACAGGCGTCCCCGCTGGCGGAGAGCGGACTTTACCGTCGAAGACGCCTGCGGCGAATCGCATCTGCCCCCTGCCTTTCTGCAACTGCCGACGTGGCCCACAACGCTGGACAGAAGCGCATTCATGCACACATTGCACGGCGCTTGGGGCGATGATCGCATGTTGCCCACTCTCGCGCGGCCCGCTGTCGCTGCCGCTTCACGCGATTCGGCGAACGAAACGTGCGCCGCGCCCGCGCAGGATCGCCACTTTCAAGCGACACGTGCACGGAGCTTGGGCGAGGAAGGGCACGTCGCCCGCTCGCGTAGCCCCCAAACTTGGCGAATCAGAGAAATGTGCCGCGCCAAGGCGGGAGCGCCACTCTCATGCGAAATCTATGCGGCGCCGAGGCGAGAGCGACACTTCCGTTCCCTCGCGCGTTGGCGATTTGATCTGGCGTGCGGAGTATGTGCGCCGCGCCCAAGCGGGAGTTCATTTCTCCAGAGTAGTGAGCGTGGCGCCAAGGCGAGAGCGACATTTCGCCCTCTCGCGCGGTTGTGCGCCCCGCTGCGTTCCTGTCGCGCATATGTGCGACGTGGGCGAGAGAGCGCCCATGCTGAGAGCAACAAGGTGGCCGCAGATGCTTGTGATGATGGTGGCAATGAGGAGGAGGAGGAAGCGGAGGATGAGGAGGAGGGGGGAGGAGGAGGAGGAGGAGGAGGAGATTGTCAAGGATGCTCAAGGACGCTCAAGGATGCTCAAGGCGCGGAGAGGTGTCTTTTCGGATGCTGGACATCGGTCGAGGGTCTCGAGAAGGCGCTGATTCCCTCGCCGCGTCGATCAAGAACTGCGGTCAGACAAAACAATGGAACGCAGTACTGCGGTTGCTCCGCGAAGGGATTCGATTAGGTGTGCAACTCGTCCCAAGCCACTACACTGCGACTGCCAGTGCATGCAGAAAAGGCGGGCAGTGGCAACACGCGTTGTCAGTGCTTAGCGAGATGTGGGAGGCGAAGCTGGTTGCCGACGTCATCAGCTACAATGTTGGGATCAGCTCGTGCGAGAAGGGCGGGCAGTAGCAGAGGGCACTGGCGCTGCTCTGGAAGATGCCGGAGGAGAAACTGGAGCCCACCGTCATCAGCCTCAGCGCTGGGATCAGCGCATGCGAGAAGGGCGAGCAGCTGCAGTGGGCCTTGGCGCTGCTGAGCGAGATGTGGGAGGTGAATCTGGAGCCCAACGTCATCAGCTACTGCGCTGGGATCAGCGCGTGCGAGAAAAGTGGGCAGTGGCAGCGGGCGCTGGCGCTGCTTTGCGAGATGTTGCAGGCGGAAGTGCAGCCCGACGTCACCAGCTACAACGCTGGGATCAGCGCGTGCGAGAAGGGCGGGCAGTGGCAGCCAGCTTTGGCGCTGCTCAGGGAGATGAGGGATGCGACGCTAGAGGCCACCGTCATCTCTGGAGGAGGAGGTGGTGGTGGTCACTGCGTACGGGAAACATAATCCCGAGCAGAGCAACACGCACCACGACCACGACGACGCCGACGACGACGACGACGGAGACGAGGCGCGCTTACGATCCGCACTGAAGCACGGATTTGGGAAAGGGCCCACCCTGCAGGTTCGGTTAAACAGCACATCGTTGAGCGGTGCTGCAGCCTCCCCTGAGCACAGGCCCCCCCATAGCATCAGCCAGACAAGTCGGGCTTGCACCCTCATGCCTTGCTGGACTCTGGAGGAGGAGGAGGAGGAGGAGGAGGAGGAGGAGGAGGAGGAGGAGGAGGAGGAGGAGGAGGAGGAGGAGGAGGAGGAGGAGGAGGAGGATGAGTCGGAGGAGGAGGAGGAGGAGGAGGAGGAGGAGGAGGAGGAGGAGGAGGAGGAGGAGGAGGAGGAGGAGGAGGAGGAGGAGGAGGAGAGGGCGCGCACGAGCTGCGGGTTCTGCTCAGAGGCCCTCCCGGGCCTCTCGGAGGCCTTCCCAGAGGCCGCCGCCCCCTTCCAAGAAGGCAGCGCGCCGCTCCCCGTGGGGTGCGCGCCGCCGCGGGGGGTCGGCGAGCAAGAGCGAGGAGGAAGCACGAGGAAGTGGGAGGAGCGATGAGGAAGTGGGAGGAGCGAGGAGGAAGTAGGAGGAAGCAGGAGGAAGCAGGAGGAAGCAGGGGGGAGTAGGAGGAAGCAGGAGGGGGACAGAGCGCCCTGAGGCAGTGGAGCGAAGTCCGAACGGAGAGGACGCAGGAGGAAGTAGGAGGCAGCGGGTGCCAAGGCGGGGGGGAGGAGTGAGAGAGAGAGAGAGAGAGAGAGAGAGAGAGAGCGGCCATTGCCCTCTTCCACGTCTTTTGTTGCGATCCCTCCGTCCTCATCCCCCCCACCCCCCCTTGTGGCAGGCGGCGCTCCTGCAGCCGCTGTCGTGGGAGGCCGCGGGGGTCAAGGCGGCGGCCCCGGGTGGTTGGGCGCACCGCCCCCCCCCCCCTTCCCGCCCCCCTCCCTCCTCTGTGCCCTCCTCTGTGCCCTCCTCTCGGGGGCCACGATCGGGGGGAATGGGCAGCATAGGGGGGGATGAATCGACCCCCAGTCGTCCCATTGATCGCCGATAGGGGCCAGATAGCCCCACCCCGCCCAGGAACGTGCGGATTCGCCACCAGGGGCCTATCGCCGATCCATCGGCGCTGAATCGCCGACTCCTTGTCGATGCTTCCCCTCTATGCCAGTCCGCCCCTATCCTTGCCCCTCATCCTTCACATCCTTGTGGGCTTCTCGCAGGGTTGCACCCGTACGCTAATGCTTGAATGTATGCGAGGGTTGGCTGTGCCGCTCTCGTCCAGGAATGGCGCTGCCGTGCGCGCCCAGCTACAAGCAGCGAAGGATGACTTCCGGTCCTCGGTGAGCAGCAGAGCGTGACGTGGGGATACTTCGTATACATACATACATACATCTACATGTATGTTTTCATCATACTTACACGTACACACCAACACACATACATATGTATGCATGTATATATTTAGGTATGCATGTCTGTATGTATGTTCGTTTGCATATACATATACATACTGAGTTTTCTTTACACATCTGCATACGTATGTATGCATGCATTCATGTGCTGGTATGTGTGTTTATTTGTTGGTTCGTTTGTTTGTATGTTTGGTGGTATGCTTACAGGTGCGTGTGTATGTATGCATGCATTTATGTTGGGTATATGTATATATATATATATATGTGCATGTAGGTAGGTCGGCAGGTAGGTAGGTAGGTCTGTAGACGGGTACAGACGCATGTATACATTCATGTTTGCATAATGCATGTATGCATGTATACGCGTATGTATGCATGCATCGTATCATGCATCTAGGTATGCATGCATGCATGCATGTGCATCTGTATGGATGTATGTATGCATGCACTCGTGTATGTATGTATGCATGCATGCACGAGTGTATGTGTGTGTATGTATGCTTGTATGCATGCATTCATGCATGTATGTATGCAGGTATGTGTGTATGTATGTATGTATGGGTGTGTGAATGTATGGTTGTATGTATGTATGTATGTATGTATGTATGCATGTATGTATGTATGTATGTATGTATGTATGCACGTATGTAGGTATGTATGTATTTATGTATGTATGTATGTTTGCATGTGCATATGCATGCATGCATGTATGTACGCATGCATGCATGTATGTATGTATACCTGTATGCATGCATATATGCATGCACGTATGCATAGTGTATGTATATGTTTGCATAGTAACTGTATGTGTATATATGTAAGCATGTATGTCTGCATGCATGCATTTGTGCATGTATGCATGTATGCATACATGCATGCATGCATGTATGCATGTTTGCATACATGCATGTAGGTATGTATGCATGCACGCATGTATGTATGCATATATGTACGCACGCACGTATGTATGTATGTATGTGCGTACGCACGTATGTATTTATGTATAGGTATACGTATCTGTATGTATGTGTGTATGTATGTATGCATGTACGTATGTATGTATGTATGCATGCATGCATGTATGTATGTATGTATACATTTATGTATGTATCTATGTATGAATGTGTGTACGTATGTATGTATGTATGCATGTATGTATGTATGCATGCATGCATATATGCATGCATGTATGTATGTATGTATGTATGTATGTATGTATGTATGTATGTATGTATGCATATACGCATATATGCATGGATGCATGTATGCATGTATGCATGTATGTTTGTATGTTTGTATGTTTGTATGTTCTTATGTATGTATGTATGCATGTATGTATGTATGCATGCATGCATGCATGCATGCATGTATGTATGTATGTATGTATGCATGCATGCATGCATGCATGCATTTATGTATGTATGTATGTATGCATGCATGCATGTATGTATGTATGTATGTATGTATGTATGTATGTATGTATGTCGCTGCTGGCGGAAAACTAAGGGGGGTCACTGGGGTTTCCCAACCCATTCCCCCCCCCTCGAAAACCGGGGGGGTCACTACCGGTTCGACCCCCCCCCTCCCTCCCCCAGTCCATCATGAAAAGGGGGGGGGGTACTACCGGTTCGACCCCCGCCGCTCCCCCCTCCCTCGAAAGCCGGGGGAGGTCACTACCGGTTCGAACCCCCCCCCCTTCCCCCCCCCTCGCCACCAGCAAACGATTCCCGCTCCTCGGGACAGATGGACAGTGGTGGGGATACTGGGACAGTGGTGGGGACGGTGGTGGTGGGGACGGTGGTGGTGGGGACGGTGGTGTGGGGACAGTGGGACAGTGGTGCGGACAGTGGTGGGGACGGTGGTAGTGGGGACTGGTGAGGGGACAGCGGGACAGTGGTGGGGACAGTGGGACAGTGATGAGGACGGTAGTGGTGGGGACAGTGGTGAAGGCGGTGGTGAGGACGGTAGTGGGACAGTAGTACAGTGGGGAGAGTGGCGGGGACAGTGGGGACGGTGGTACAGTGGTGGGGACACTGGGGACTGGGACAGCACAGTGGGACAGCTGCGGGGACAGTGGGGACAGTGGGACAGTGGTGGAAACAGCGGGGACAGTGGGACAGTGGTGGGGACCGTGGGGAATGTGGGGAGAGTGGGACCGTGGTGGGTCAATGGTGGGGAGAGTGGGGACAGTGCGACACTGGGGGGGGGCACTGGTGGGGACAGCGGGAACAATGGTGGGAACAGTGGGGACAGTGGTACAGTGGTGGGGACTGGGACACTGGTGGGGATGGTGGTGGTGGGGACAACGATGTGGGGACAATGGGAATGTGGTGGGGACAGTGGGACACTGGTGGGAACAGTGGTGGTGGGGACAGTGGTGAGGGCGTTGGCGAGGACGGTGGTGGGACAATTGGACCGAGGTACAGTGGGGACTGGCGGGGACAGTGGGGACAGTGGTGGGAACAGTGGGACGGCTCAGTGGGACAGCGGCGGGGACAGTGGGACAGTGGGGACAGTCGGGCAGTGGTGGGGACCGTGGGGAAAGTGGAGAGAGTGGGACCGTGGTGGGAACAGTGGTGGGGACAGTGGGGACAGTGCGACAGTGGTGGGGGCACTGATGGGGACGGTGGAGACGGTGGTGGAAACAGTGGGGACAATGGGGGTGGGGACAGTGGTGCTGGGGACAGCAGTGGGGGACGTGGTGCGGACGGTGGTGGGGATCCGGGAGTCGTTTGCTGGCGGTGAGTGGTGGGGGTGGGGTGGGGGGGGGTTCGAACCGGTAGTGATCCCCCCCGGTTTTCTGGAGGGGGTGGGGGGGGGTTTGAACCAGTAGTGACCCCCCCCGGTTTTTCTGGAGGAGGTGGGGGGGGATTCGAACCAGTAGTGACCCCCCCCGGTTTTCCAGGGGGGGGTGTTCGAACCGGTAGTGACCCCCCCTGGTTTTCAGAGAGGGGGGGAGGGGGGGGGGGTTAAGGGGGGGGTGCGAGGGGGAAGGGGGGGATGGTTCCGAGGGGGGGGGGGGATTTTCGAAGGGGGGGACCCCTGGGTTCGGCGAAGTGGGGGGGGCGAATTTTTCCACAGTAAAACGGCGTGGATCACGCTCTCTCCTATGCATGTATGTATGTATGTATGTATGTTGTATGTATGTATGTATGTATGTATGTATGTATGTATGTATGTATGCAGTGTATGCATGCATGTATGCATGCATGCATGCATGCATGCATGCATGCATGCGTGCGTGCATGCATGTATGTATGTATGTATGTATGTATGTATGTATATATGTATGCATATATGTATGTATGTATGTATGTCTGGATGGATGGATGGATGGATGGATGGATGTACGTACGTACGTACGTACGTACGTACGCATGCATGCATGCATGCATGCATGCATGTATGTGTTGTAGGTAGGTATGTATGTGTGTACGTACGCATGCCTGTCTGTCTGTCTGCCTGTCTGTCTGTATGTATGCATGCATGTATGTACGTATGTATGCATGAATGTATGTATGCATGCATTTGTGAATGTTGTATGCATGTATGCATGTATGGATGTGTGTATGTAATCCGGCTTCTGCACCTGTACTCTCTCAGAAACATACATACACATACGTACGTCTTTGTTTATACACATGTGTAAATGCAAACAAGACTAAAACCAGGCGCGCGCTTCGCGCGCGCTTCGGTTCTAGCTAGGCGCAAGCGCAGGATTGGCGGTGAAACCATGGGGTTGAAGTGGGTGCAGAATAATCGAGGGCTTACTGAAGATTCACCGAGGACGGGAGGCCATGAGGAACGAGGACGCTCAAAGACAGCCAGAAGAGTGAGGGAGCGAAAACCAGAAGAAAACCTTTGAAGTGACAAGGAGATCTGCCTCCAGACAGCCTCTTGGGGGCTCTGGGAGCCCTCCGGAGGCGTCTGGGAGGCCTCGTGGGCCGTCGTGGTGCCATCTAAAGCCGTGGGGCCGTCTGGGGCTCCTTTTGGGCCGCCCTGAGGGCGTCCTGGAGCCAGCGTGGGCGGACCTGGGAGCATCCTGACGCCTCCGGGGCTCCTGGACCACAGTCGCTCGGCAAACTGGGTCTTCTTGGGGGCATCTGAGGGGCTTTTAGGGGGTTCTCCGTGCTTCTTCACTGGGCTGTTGGAGGTATTTCTTGGGTGCTTCTTGGGGGGGCGTCTTGGAGCTTCTTGGGGTGGGCATCGTCGGGGATCTGTGGGCAGGCGGAAGGTGATTCTCTGCAATCTGAAGCCGTCATTGGCCGTTTTGGCTGCGTCGAGGCCCGACTTGAGGCCTCCTGGGGCCACCTGGGGCCACGCGCAATCTGGAAGCCTCTCGGGGGCCACAGCCAGTTTTGATGCACCGAGGGCACTGTTGGGCTATCCTGGGGCCTCTTGTACGTATCCTGGGGGCCTTTTGGGGCCTCTTGGGAGGCTTGTGGGGGCTTCTTTGGACCTTGTGGGGGCCTCGACG